AAGATCGACGTCGGAAGTGGTGCAATTTCTGAAAGAAAAGTCAGAAAGAGAGAGTGTGCTGAGAAAGGAGGATTTGGAGTTGAGACGAAAGGAGCTGAGTCAAAAGGAGGATATGATGAAAATGCTAGCACAACAACAGCAGCAGCAGACTCAGCTTATGCTTTGTTTGCTTGCAAAAGGCCAAAATAAGAACAGTTAAGTATCCGCTATTTTCTCCATCCAAGTGTTGGTTTTTCCAATGTTGTTGTTACTGAAAGTTTTACCGTGAAAAAGTGCTGAGGCAGCATGCATATTTTCCAGACATGTAATAATGCACTGTTTGTATTTGAAGGTACATTTTGAGACTGCAAAGTTCTAATTGATTAGTGTTGTTGCAAAACCTTAAATTGATTAAATTCAAGATTCATGTTTCAAAGTTTTAAGTGTATTGTATGTGCATTTCTGTACATCTTGTCTGACTGGCTACAATCTTCAGTGTTGTATTTGAAGCTACAACATTTTATCGTGATTAAATTTAAGCTTTGTGTTTCAAAGTTTCAAGTTTATTCTACGGTACAGTGTATGCCCATCTTGCCTGACTGGCTACAAAATGAAGCCTCCTGTATCGGTTGGAATTGAGGGGTTATCTGTCAAAGGTGGGAGGGTCACATGAAACTTTCATTATTGCACTGACATGTGATTCCCCTTTGATTACCGGTATGTTATTTGAATTACTTTCAAGAAAAGTAATCTTGTAGTGTTGGCGGATCTAAGATAAAGTATTGCGATGTCTGATTTGGATATAGGCATGTAAGAGCATTCCTGAGAATTGCACAAACGACTTACATCTTTCCTGCACTACTCAAACTAATTTTTAGATTCTTTTTAAAGTCCATAAACTTAAAATAATTTACAATGTCATTAAACAGCCATTCTACGGACTCCCGCACTGTAATCATAGACTGGTTGAAAGCAATCATTGGGGCAGTAAGGGCTCTATTTCGGAATGGCGTCTGTAAGTAAATTCTATGAGGGTCCATTTTGCTTGTACGGCGATCCGGCATGCTGCCAGCTGGTGAATTTGCAAAGCGTTGCAGGTCTTGAAGAAGTCCTGAATCAGCTAGCATTCCAGCATCGTGTTTACGACCCTCTGAAACAGTAAAACGAAGTAAAAAATTCGTAAGGAACTAAAAATGCTTCTTGTACAGGTTTGTCACACAAGCCTCTCACTCTTTACCCCTGACACTCTTCCAATATTTCTTGTTAAAAACATAGTGAAATTGAAATCGCCCACTCTCTCTTTGTACAAACCCTCCCCGCAAAACTTATCCACTGGACCAAATAGGTTACCAATTAAACCATTGGGTAGAGCCACACACTGGAATTGTAGAGCGTGAACCCTCTTATGGCCGTTGTAGATGACTCTTTGGTGCTCTCCTGGTCTGCATACGGGTCGAACGGTCCCATCAACGAACCCAAAACAATTATGTAAAGCAGCTCCTTTGCCGGAAATAACGCTACTGTAAGTCTGTAATGCAGCTGGATTAAGCGCATTGTGGTTCCACTGTGTTATACGATGTCTGTGAGTGTTATATATAAAATCCAAGACGTCATTACTGACCATACTGAGAACTGGTACTGGCAGTCCGAATCGAGAAATCATGTCACTGTATCTGCATGGATAACTTAATCTTCTAAGAAGAATACAGAGACCTTCCATTCCGTCAACAACACCTCTTTGATAGCATCTGAAGCTATCAGGTATTTGAAGAACCTCTGAGAGAATTCGCAAGTCGTGCTTTCTAAGTCTAAACTTTGCCAAGCACTCGGCATCGTTCATCTCATCGAGGGAAAACCTGTCGTATTCCTCGTACGAGAAATTGGGATTTTTCGGCATAAATTGCTCACGTAGTAGCAAAAACTCATCTTCATCTAGAATACCGTCCTCATAACTCAAAAGAAGTTACTCTTGGACCTCGTGAAAAGAAGACATGATAAAATTATTGGACTGTTTCTCGATTTTCACGATAAATGAGCACTGTTTTGTTTACATGTCCTCGTCCACGTTCAAGTGCGCGCTTAACATTTTAGTTTTCCCGCCGTGAACGACGTCCTCGGCCTAGTCCCTCAGCAACTCTACTCGTCGTCGTCGCTTAAGGTCCCTACTAACGCAGCAGGCCCTCGCTCAGTGTTGATTGACCTAGAAGCAATAGTACCATCCCTCCCATTGCAAGTGTTGCATTGTCGCGCGGACGCGGTCGCTAAGCTTGAATATTCATATTCACGTCGCGTATTAACCCATTCGCTCCTGGAGATTTTGCCGAAAAACGCGTTTTGAAGCCAGTCGAGTGGTTTTCTGGTCACTGTCGTGCTATAAAGAGCTAAAACTTACCACAAACTGGTTTACAGGTCGAACACTTCGCGGCCTTCTGATCCAGATGCAAAATATCAGTTTTTGGGTTTAAAAGTGACACAGCAGTCTTGACTTTTACTTTNATGCAAAATATCAGTTTGCGAAGTTCGGGCATGCGCAGAAAGCAAAATTTCGAGATAGTTTTTGGGTTTAAAAGTGACACAGCAGTCTTGACTTTTACTTTTCGCTTTCTCTCCTCCCTTCGTTTTTCGCTTTTCTTGCCTCATTTTTTTTTCGCTTGCTGGGCATTTAGTAGGCTTGATTTTGGTGGGAAGAGTTTTTAGGAAAGCTTTTAGGATCTTAGGATTAGGTGAAAGGAAAGGTAGGTGGGTAGTGGAACAAGATTTTCATGGAGATTTTCAGGTCAATGTCACGTGGTTTTTTGCTTGTTTCTCCGGTGTCCTTGACTGAATGGGTTAAACCTGGTAGTTTGCGGTCATATCGAAGAAGGTCAACAGTGTTTGTTGATGAGCGAGCGATTATTGTGCAGTTGCGATCGGTTTTGTGGAGCAAGCGAGCAAGGAAACAGAGCACACGTTACCTGCAGACTAGCCGATGGCAATTTGGAGCGGATTCATCGATTATTCTCGAATTTATAGCGCTTCGTGTGAAGGAGCGTGGAGATGGTCGGTTTGTTTTGTAGTCAGCCTTTAATTCTTCTTTAGTGGATAGTACCTACAATTGCAAAACTCAACAAAATGCCACTTAAGCCGGCCAGGAAAGACAAGGATACGTTCAGTTAAAGGTATCTTCGCTTTATTTTGTTATATTTTGACTTTTGGACTATTTTAGTTCATTGGAGTTTCGACGACTCATCGCATTAATTTGTCCATGTGAATATTAATATATTCATTCAGTGACACATACTACGTCTGGGTCGCCTGTGGGGCAACATAGCAACCAGAGCAACAGGGTAACCAGAGCAACAAGGCAACAGGGCAACCAGGGTAACAAGGGCAACAGGGCAACCAGGGCAACAGGGTAACCAGAACAACAAGGTAACGGGGCAACCAGGGCAACAAGGCAACAAGGCAACAGGGCAACAAGGGCAACAAGGCAACAGGGCAACAAGGCAACATGGTAACAGGGCAACCAGGGTAACAAGGCAATAAGGTAGCCTGCGTAGCAGCCGTCGAAAGGGGTAGGGGATAGGGAATAGGGAGGAAGGGAAAATGGAGAGGGTGCCACACAGGCTAGCAACAGGGAAACAAGGGCAACAGGGCAACAAGGGCAACAAGGGCAACAGGGTAACAGGGCAACAAGGCAACCAGGGCAACAGGGCAACAGGGAAACCAGAGCAACAGGGAAACCAGGGCAACAGGAAAAAGAAATGAATTCGAGGTAAGCTTACTATTAAAAACGTATTATGATAATTCAGAGTAATTGTTTGTTTGTTTGTTTGTTTTTTCTTGAACAATGCTGATATTTCTGTCATTTTTACATATGGCATATTATCTGTTGTTTTTTGAAGTGAGAACAAAAGTGCAGAGAGAGAGAAGAACCGGTAAGAAAAACGTTTACATTTCAGATGACTTTAAGCTTACTTAAGCTTAACTCAAGTATAAAGCTTATTAAGTCTTATATACCTCCATAAATTTATTTGAACCTAAAAATACACGCTGTTCGATCCTCCAGCAGAAGGATATGGAAATCCTCCAAGTGAACATTCTCAGTCAAAGCCCTGATAATCAATTATCTGAATAGTCTTTAATTGTGTTTATTAGGTTCATGGTATGTTCAATAATTATAAATACAATTTATTACAACTTTTTCACAGTGCCTGTTCTGTTGACTCATAATAAAATGAAACAGTTCCTCTATCATTTTGCAGAGACAACAGCTACTGAGAAAAGAAGAAGAATTAATGAGTACATTGTGCATTGCTCTTATTTCTCGAAGAAGTTATATCTTTGTTTAATCTAACAGGAACCAATTTCTGCTGTTTTGAAAACATGTTATCAATCAAAAACAAGTCTGGACAAGAAATGATTCTCCACACAGTAAACATTTCAGTTATGTTTTACACAAGTAATTAACAGCAAATACCAAAACAACGACTAAACTGCCCATGTGTTTACTACATGGATACAAAACAGATGTCAAAAGAGTGACTGTATGAGTGAACATTAGATGGAGCTTTCTGCAAATGTAGCGGTCATTAGACGACATCTTTCACAGACAATATCATGACATTAAAGTAACTTTCTCAAACTCATAAACAATTCATAAAGCGAAAACAAAGAAAATGACAACCGTGATGGTGGTTTGGATATCGGATATCAGATCTTTAAATTTTCCCAAGAATTACTATTCATTTGAGAAGCTATATCAAAAACGACACGCAGTGTTTCATTCGATATCCAGACACCGAGAAGTGGGTTGAAAAACAAAGGCACAGCCGAGTTTTTTAAGACCAACTTCGACCACAGTTTTCATATCTCAAACCAGTAAAACTAGGACACCATGCTTATTTATTTACTAACAAATTTTAAAAGCTTAGATAACATCCTATAGTTTGCATCTCTTCACAAAATGCTACAAGTGCGAAGGGTGGGGCCATACAACCCCAATTTGCCCCACCCGGCAAGAAGTTTAGGTCAGCTGTATGATACTGTACATGTACAGAAACCTTTATATTGTAAGTGTTATTAGCGACACACAAACTGATTTTTACGATGATCCAAACTACTTTATTTCTTGCAGATGAAGCTGAGATCTATGCCACTGCTGTGGCGGGTGGGGGCACAAAACTTTTTGTGCCCCCACCCTCCAGTCAAAGAGGCCAAAGAAAAAAATACAAGAAAAAGGTATTTGCAACATTTAAGCGAAAAATAATATTAAATACATGACATTTGTCACAATGAATTATGTGTTTGAGTTTACCTTTCTATTAACACGGTCCATCTCTTTGGTAAACACATGTGTACACTTCTGTTTTCTATGTATAAAATGCCTTGGCTGCATGGCATGCACAATTCACAATTCTGAAAGCAAGTTGATTTATTAGTACTACAAGGTTCTGATTCCCAATATGTGAACAGATTAATGCTCTCTTTTTCTAGACCTGTGGCTTCTGTGACTTTATATATTTCTGTTTGTAAATATCAATTTTCATGGATTATATTTCATTGTTTCTAAAACTGTGAAGTATTAATTTCTATTGGTGGAATAACTGCTGATTCAAATGTATTTATTTTCCTTTATAAATATGCAATATTTTTGTGTTCCAGCAAAAGATGACAAAGGAGCACATCCCAAGATGTGATGTTACTTATAATAGATGTAAAAGACATTTTTAATCTTTTATATCTTAACAAATTTATTTTAAGATATTTATTAAATAACCTTTAGAATGATTTTACTTGGCCCATGAAACACACACTAACAACTAGTGCAAAATAGCCACTAGTAAACAAAGAAATGCAGTGAAATTTAAAGTGCATAATATTGCTTTTAAGCATTCTACTACCATTTTCACAGGTTAAGTAAAGTCACCCTATATCTAACAACGATATATAATGAAACCTCTATTATTAAAGCAGGACACCTTCGGGACCTTCCCAAGTGTCTGCTTAATAGAGGGTGTCCGCTCAATAGGGGTTCGTAAAAATTGCACATTGTTTGGTAACGATTAACATTCAACAGTTACTCTGTATTGTGATAAAGTTCCATGTTGTTAAGGAAGCTGTGCTTTACTTTGTGCAAGACTTTTAGGTGAACTTTTGACAGCTAAATGTATTAACTGATTTATCTTTATTAATCGACTACAGTACGTATTTCAACGACATGATCCAATGCTACTATATTGTCAATTCAGTTCGGTGTCCACTAATAATAGAGGTTTTTAACAATAGAAATTATAATTAGCCAAATACAATATTTATTTTAGAGATGTCTGCTGAATAGGGGTTCGCTATAAAGAAAAATAAAAGACATTGATATTTCGGGACCCGGCTTTTGTGTCCACTTAGTAGAGGGTGTCCGCTTAATTGCGGGTCTGCCTAATGGAGGTTTCACAGTATATTTTAACCAATCATTGATATTTTTGCCTGCGAATACAGCCTCATCTCATTGTTCATTGCCATAGGGGGTTTCAAAATGATGTTTACATGTTAATTAATCTGATACTCATAAATTTGTGAGAGTTTACGCATCTTTTGCTTTATATTGAACTATTGAGTTATTAACAATAGAAATTATAATTAGCCAAATACAATATTTATTTTAGAGGTGTCTGCTGAATAGGGGTTCGCTATAAAGAAAAATAAAAGACATTGATATTTCGGGACCTGGCTTTTGTGTCCACTTAATAGAGGGTGTCCGCTTAATTGGGGGTCTGCCTAATAGAGGTTTCACAGTATATTTTAACCAATCATTGATATTTTTGCCTGCGAATACAGCCTCATCTCATTGTTCATTGCCATAGAGGGTTTCAAAATGATGTTTACATGTTAATTAATCTGATACTCATAAATTTGTGAGAGTTTATGCATCTTTTGCTTTATATTGAACTGTTGAGTTATTTCGCAAAAAAGCCTTGGAAAAACTCAACTGCCTCTTCAAAGAAGAATATTTCCAAAAATGACTGTTTTGTGCAAGATTCATTGTGTTCAAATATGATCTAATGCTGACCTTTTGTTTTTGGTAAATATTCATTCGTAAAAAAATGCTCAAAGATTAGAATATATTAAAATAATTATACTACTTTCACCAAGCAGACACCAGGAGCGGTTCATCAGTTAGCTTAAGTCATATATTGTTGTCCATTTTAAACATGTCTCTCACAAAATGTTGTCAGTGGCGAGCAGCAAGTAGAGAGTTCTGTCTTTGCAGGCTGTATTGTTAATTATTACATTTTTCAAATTTGGGATGTGAAAATAACTAAGGGCCTTTTACTATAGTTATTAATGTGATCAACTTTTGATAACACAAAAACAGCCTGCTTGTTAGCATGAGTAGCCTGTGTACAGACGTCCCCCCTCCCTCAAGAAAAATCGGGAGAGGAGACGTCTGTGAATCGCCGACGATAATCGTGTTCCCGTTTCCTCGGAATGTTGGGGACAGCCTCTGATTGGTTGTAACGTTAATGCCATGACGCAAATAAGTTCCGTTGTTGTGATTGGTGAATGAACCTCAGAATAGGTTCCCCCGGGGAAAAGCTCAGCCTTTGTGGACATTCATGTTTACCGGTATTTGTATTTCGGCTCTCTCGAAAAAGCATGAGAAGTTAAGACCACCGATGTTTGCTGCACCGGTTGCGGGTGCGTCTGTCTGTACCGGCCAGTATTGTAAATAAAAGAGAAGGCATACAAAATCCAACGTTAACAGCCAAAGCAGGTCAAGCTTACCCCAAAAAGATTCTATTAATGAATTGATTATTTGAAAAAATGAATCCGTTAGTCCTTCCCGTAACTGGTGTCAAATTTAAATCGGCATTCCTGTATGCGCAATAAGCAGTGAATATTTTAAGAGAACTTCTCTGCATTTGGTCAGATTGAAAATCTTTGAATGGATTAAATGTCTTAGAAGATATTTACATCAAATTGAGGGGAACTGAGCTGGTAGAAATTTCGTAACTGAATCGCGTGTGAATTCACGGTTCATTACGCATGCAAGAATGCACACAGAGATGAATCTGAAATCTACAACTACCAACGGTTTAACGTTCGAATAATAAATACATTAATGGGATCTTGGGAGGTACGCTTGACCTGGCTTGACTGTCATCAGAGGTTATATCTGGATTTTTGGGTGGAAATTGCGTGAAGATGTTCGGCTAGCCTGTGCACAGACGCTTGAGCTGTTTTTCGACCTACATGTGCCTTTTCAACTGTCAGCGAAAGAACAAACAAATAATTTATGCAAATGTATACCGGAACACGATTAACGACGGCTATTCGCAGACGTCTCCTCTCCCGATTTTTCAATTCTTGAGGGAGAGGGGACGTCTGTACACAGGCTAAGCATGAGCTGAAAGGGCATATTAAAACTAGGTAACCTGCAAATTGTCAGCCGTTATATATCCCAAAAGTAGCGATAGCAATGGCCGTCGAAAGTTGAAAAGTTAGTTTTTGCCACCCAGGCACACTTGAGTTGTTTTCCATACAACTCAGCCTTGTATGGAAAACCATTCAAACACACCTGGTTGGAATTAAGTTGTTTTCCTCACACAACTAACAAAAGTTTTCAAATGCAAACTGTTTTGGTGTTTTCTAAAGTTGATCATGTGATCAACCTAAATGCAAAAGGCCTTTTTTATATCTTGAATATTTTGTGAATAAT